CGACGAAGATCAAGAAGATTGTAAGAGATAGCTGCAAGTATCATGTCAAAGAATTCCTCAGAACGGTTCATCCGTCATACTCGTGACCGGGTACTGCTTGTGCGGACTGGTCTGTTCGGGTTACGAGCACTGATTAGACTATTTGCTTATGTAATAGCATATGCTGGTCTACTCTATTTTCCCAAATTAGAATTTATAAATGAATCTGTATTATTATAAACATGTATAACATTTATTTAAAAAGAATACGAACTGAGTTTCTTGTTAGTTCTTCTCATCTCGAAATCATTCTGATCTGAGGGTAGATTTGACATATTATAAGAAACAGACCTACATGAATAAAGATGTTTTGAATTTGAATTTGAATTTGAATATTGTCCTAATTCTTATTTTGATTAGTATACCTTATTTATAAATTACAGGATCTAATTTTATTTGCTACAAGTCTTGTACATGTTTACGAGTGGACAGTAAAACCCAGGTGCAAAGGTCTTCTTTAAAAGCCATTCACACGAGCTATAATCGAATACAAAGTGTTTTGTACCAACCACTTGTTGTGTAGGTTTCCTTTGTTCTATGATACAATCTGATGGTAGATTAGTTGCTGTTATTGGGTGCGAGGTGATGATCGAAACGTGACCTCTACAATAGAGTTAGTTGTTCGTTTAATAACGTGAACAATGCATCGGAGCAGTTTAGTATTAGAGAGATCTAATATTACGTTATATATGTAAACCCAATAGACATTACGGTAACCTGGTTTATAATTGGGAAATCCTTAAATAGAGGTTAACCATAAATTATTTATGTAATCACACTGAAATGTTAATTATGACGTCATTAGTAAACATGTGTTTTATTTTATCTTTTTAATAAATAAATCATGTTGATCATTACTTGCGATTATTTATTAAAAAAATAAAATGTCTTTTAAATAATGTGTGCTAACCTGTCAATTTTAACAGCTAGCATCAATCTGTTTATCGGTCTTTGATTAAGTCACAGCGCTATATTTCAGTAATTTTATAATCTGCACTAGTTTTAAATATTCATGGCTAAATCATTATAATGCTAATTATATCCACATTTACTGTAATTTAAGAAAATACAAATTACATTAATGTAAGTGTAAGTACACAGTATTAATATAGCTAACCTGATCATAATACGAATAATTCAATCCACAATCTAAGTGTGCGAGGTAAAAAATTCCTTTAAAACCACACTATCCTTGACCACTCAAATTCCATGGTGTAGGAATTTATCTGTCTGTCCCTGTCGATAGAGAGTGGAGGGATGGTGAAAGATAGTTACAAGTTTCATGTCAAATAATTCCTCAGTGTACTGAGGAATTCTAGGTAGAACTTACAAGGCGAGGCAAGTTTTTCCACAAACTGAAGGTTTTGATAACGCTGGTGACATCGGCTTTTACTATATCTTACTAATATTATAAAAGCGCATGTTTGTAATTATGGATGAATGTTTGTTACTCTTTCACGCAAAAACTACTGAACGGATTTTGATGAAACTTCACAGTAATATGGCTTATATATCAGAATAACATATAGGCTATAATGTAAAAAGATTTTATATAAACTGGGCGAAATATAACGGGAAATGTCAAGTGATGCAGACTAAGTTCCACGGGATATCTAGTATAATATAAACTAAAATTTTCTCCGAAAGGCAAAAAGCCGTATGGTATATTTAAACGTTTTACTAGAGTTATATTGTAAAGAATCATTGACGAAGATTCAACAGTCTCTCCTATTTGAGCCGCCAAGCGCCAGCCGCCGATTTGCTTCGTAATCTGTGTTTCAGTTATAATAATCTTCATTCAAATAAACTCAGTACAGGAACTTTTGAATAGTCATATTTTTTTATTCTTGTTGTTTATTGTATGTCGCAATTACGCAGTAACCTTATAGGTTAAGATGTTTGACATCTTAGTCCTCTAAAATAGCAACAATAACGTATTGTCCGTAGTGCTTATCATATATATAGACCACGGTTTTTCACGGTTTTTTCACGGTTCACTCTTACCATCAAGTGAGTCATCAGCTTATTGAATTTCACTAACATAGAAAAAAAACTACAAAATATATAATTAAATTGTTTTATTCTCAGTACATTTAAAGCAATGCCACGTGCCTTTAGACTATTCTTAAAAATATTATGTACAATCTTATTGTAAGTATTGTATTATTTTGTTTAAACACTGTCTTCAAATGCAATATGTAAGTATGTATGTACAAAATCGTCGCACTACGATTATGTATGCACTAAGCACTTGTAACTTTGTTGCCAATGTACTATATTTGTAAGATAACTGTGGCACATTCCTTAATACTTACAAACGGCTCCTGAATTGTTTTATTCATCTATTAGTTTTCTATATATAGCCTATGTAACTCTGGCATAATGCACTTTTAATACAATGAATTTTCTATAAGTTGCAGTGGTTAAATTAAATTTAGTTTTTATTTAGTGTTTACAATCTTCTCTTTCTTTTTAACATATTAGTCTAGGAGTCGGCCCTCCTTCTTCCCATCTTCGCAAGTGAATCATGATAAGTATATAACAGATAAAATAATATACGGACCTAAACCTGAAGATAAGTCAATATTTGTTTTATAGTGATAATAAAGCTACATTTTACTTTTACATTTGAATATCCATTTGATTTGGTTATACTTATAATATATGTTTGAAAGAACGTTTGAACTCGTAAATAAATATTAAACTAATTAAAATTCGTTTGGTAATATAAATTATTAACAAAGTATAAAAAAATCTTTCTTTTTCTATATTACAGAGTAACATAGTCTAGATATTATTTTCCACAATTTAGACATGAGATGCCTGAGTTCGGTTATATATAAATAAATAATAAATATTAAAAAATACATGTCCATAGTACATTTAGAGAATATGTTAAAATATTTTTTATATTCACTGTACAAACAAATTCTGCAATCGTTATATTGAATGTTGTTGTGAATTGACAAACTGCAAATAACTGTTTTCTATGATCACAGTTACGTGTTCGGTAAATATTTAATCTAGCTCTCATGTTACAACCATATAAACTTCAAAGTGGAAAGTAAATTACGGGGAGTTATATTGTTATTTTCAGTTAAATTATAAGGTTTTGAGTTAGTTACTTAGTCCTTCAGAATAGCAATGCATGAGAGATACACAAGCGAACTTCTCCTATCGATATCCCGTCCAATTCAAAAGGAGATCAAAATTACGACGCCCTGAGCAGAAGTTCTATCTAACCCCTAGCGGTGCCCTCAGACTAAAGTCGTATCCGTCAGGCGGGAGTTTGCCTTCAGCCGCTCCATAAGTCGTTCTGCTTGTTTGGAGTGCCATCTGTACGTTCTATATCGTTCGTGGAAGCTATACAGGCCAGCTGCGACCAACAGCATTAGAATAGTTCGAAAAAACCACAAGCGTTTTATGAAGACGTGATGTTCGCGATGGGGAAGCTATGGTTGAAGAGTGAGATATCTCAGTAAAATTATTGGTACACTAGGGGTTACTTAATGAGTTTATATCATTTTATTTTATTCCGCTACAATTAACATGTGTGCAATCACAAACATTCAATGTGGAAACCTGATCACCGCTACGGGAATCGTTACGACCTTAGACCTTGATCTATTGGTGATCAAATTCCGACCGTTACCGAGTCCACACCTATACTGCAACACGTGTTTTGCCTCTGAACGAGGCATCATCAGGCATTGAATAGTTCGGATATAACTTAGAAGCCTAGTGCTGATTTTTCGGCGACAAAACCGCGACTCGAGTGCGGAATTAAACAATATAATATAATTCTATTAAGTACTGAAATGGACTTTCGCAAAATAACCTAATTCGATAAAATATATACTAGGGGCGTCACACAACGTGATGTCCGAAATATTTTTCCACAGATGGATTTTTCCATTGGGTGGATTGCCAGCTTCATTTGACACTTCAATTATATAAAAGAATGCATTCAACGAGCTGTTTGTACATATCATATAAATACTAATGCTAGCGTAAAAACTTTGTGCATGTTCATTAAAAATTACCTAACCTTCAATCATTGACAAAAATATATCTTCATTTCAATTCTCTACAAATGTTTAAAATTAGTTATCTATCTAATGACGTCGACGTGAAAAATTCTATTAGTCAGTAAAACTGTCGGCATTGACGAGTCGCAATGTAATCATTTATATCAATGTCACTTTATATTTTATACAAGTCTGAATAAATTAGATCCTAAAGACAGGATAGGAAAAAATCAATAGGAACATACAATAACAGGGAAGTCGTAAAATTATGTTTACAATATATAAATACAGTCTTACGCACACTTTCTTTTTCACCTACAATCATTCTTGTTTTGACACGTGATTGTCAACATTTGTCAAAATCAAATTATTATATTTGACAACCAGAAAATAATTTCAAACTATATTAAATTACTAAGTTAGTTTAAGTTACTAATTCCTTTTTTATCCCTTTAAGGATCTTCCACGTTGATAGTGTTGATACATTTAGTAGTCTAAATTTCTTTATTCTCTTCCATTTCTTTGATCAAAGTACCTACTAATGGGGGAAGGACATTGTTAGCAATTGGTTGGATTGATGATCCCATTGCTATCAATGTACCATGTCAGGTTGACCTCCACGCGGTTCCCCCTGGAAACCATCTTGATAAATTCCTGCTGAATTTGTCATGATAGGCTAACTGACCTGACCTCATGCTCATCTTATCATCCTCCACTGGTGCTCCGCCAGCGTAAACCGTTAGCGCAGGCAGACGCTCCATTCCATTATCATCCATAAAAAAAATACCTACTAATTTATATAAATCATTTTCATCCTGTTCCTCATTCTATTTATCCTTTCATTCATATTTATAAATTAACTATATACGGATCTCATTGTACTACATAATATATATCCTCTGGTCTTTTTCCTGCTCTGGGGCTTCCTAATATAAAAAGATCGCTAATAGAATTTTTGACGCCAACCATTTCCTTAACTATATTCAATTTCGCGATATTGTCAGCATAATTACACCTAACATTATTGAATTTTGTTTTGGAAATAAAAATTTCGCAAGCACAATCTACATAAATTTTGACAGTCACACTCAAAATATCACACGTAAAGTAATTGTTATGATCAACTTAAAATGTCTTCATAAGAATATGTTCGGAAAGCGGCCCGCCTATATTTGGTATCACATCACTGTTTTTCACTGTTTTCTCTTTATGCAAATTGCATTGTTTTTCTTTATGTCCGATCTCTGATTTGTTATGAGTTGTTTTTATTTGTGACGATATAGACACGTTACGTTTTTTGGTCCCGCACTTTTTACACTCACACGCACTATTGTTACTGTCACTTGCAGTACTCACAATTTTGTTACGGACACTTTTTAAATTTGTCACTTGCTTTTTATTTTCTTCATAATTTGTTGGCTTTTCTTTTACTGCTATTTTTACTTCACCCGACAGTTGTGAGTGATCGAAGCAGGTGGTCGTTTTCTGTAAAAAAAAATACATCTTAGTAAATCATAATTATAAAAACCAAAACTTTTAAATCTATTTTACCTACGGGGTATTTTCTTATTTCAATATAAAGAAAACAGCTTGAAAGAAAAGTAAAACAATTCAGTAGCCAATAAAATTGCTTAATAAAATTATTATCTAGTTTAGCCATTTTTTAATTAGTATTTAAAGACAATTTTAATAATTTAAAAAACTTCAAATATTTAATTACTTCTGAACATAACTATGCTATATTGGACCAAAGATTTGCCCATTAGATTTTTGTATTAGCTTTTGTGCATGTATTAAAACCAGTAAGTACACCAAGTCCAGAATTGAGCGAATATTTAAATGTTTCAAATTCACGTTTGGCAGCTGCAGTATCGAAACAACATGTATTCAAACGTATATTCAAAGAAGCATGTTTGGCAGCTGCAGGATTGAAACAACACGTATTCAAACGTGTGTCCAAAGAAATAAGATAGGTATTACAGATAAAGTAACGTACGGTGGGGTTGACAGCTTTAGAATAGATTTGCACCCGGCCCTCCAGCTCCATCTTGAGTCGCCAGTCACGTAGGTACATGTGCGCTGCCGCCGCGCTCGGCCACCCGCGCCGCCACGTGTGCCATCTTGTACAAATATATTCAAATTTGTATTCTAATATACTACTACGATGCCTGTGAGCCTAGTACTAGTAGGCTTATCTTTGAAGCTGTAGTAATTTTTATTCCTAAATTTGAGCGCGATTAACCACAATCTTATCGATGCGATGTTAAGTGATGATGCGGTCTAAGTTGTTACACCCAAGCCAAATAATGTCTATTCACTTTTGACTTGAAAGACCCAATGTTGTAAGAGACAGGAAATAGACGCTGGGAGAGAGTTCCATTCTTAACTGCTTGAAATTTGATTGTCAGATCTCTTCGTGGACAAATATATTCAAATTTGAATCCAAAATATATTACTACGATACAGCCAGTGTATAAGAAGATATACGTAAAGATTTCCAAAAATAATGTATACAAGCCTCTGATAATTCTATCTGAAGTTAGGTCTATAGTTTATGTTTCAAAATTTACACTTACCTTGTTAAAAGCTGTAGTATTCTAGACTTTTGCCCTAACGACCTGTACATGAGTGCTGTATATCTAAACGAGATTAGATCTCCTCTGACTGGTTTCTCTAAATTTCGATTCCTAAAATTCAGTTTTAAAGCTTCTAAATAGTACTTTGAGGCTAGGCTTTGTAGACCTGAAAAAAAAATAAGTTCGCAATGATTTACACACGTTACAACCTTAATGTTGCTGGCAGTTTGCCTATTATTCTTTTTAGACTAAGATGTCTAATGTCTATGGTACCCATTTTTGATATTTTTTACTTTATTATTGAACTTTTTTCTAGACAAATACATTGTTATAACATATAATATTTTTTTATTACTTATTATTGTGCCTTTGACTTTGATATTGATAAAAACTTTCGCATTGAGTTTTCTAGTAGTTTTAAGCTAAAGCCAGATAAAGAGTGGTAGAATAGTATTAATAGACTACTATTTAAAAGTGTTTACATTAGGTTTATTTGTATAAATATTTGCGTGAAGGTTTTATATTAAATTCTTTTTCTATGTCATTTTTAAAAAATGTGAAATATTTTTGTGTCATATTTAGAAGTAGTTACTATACATTATTTCTAATTTACCTTTCAACCTTAACCAGTCTCCGTACAACACGAAATGTTCCCAATTATTTGGTTCCAGCTCCACCAGCTTTGATAGTATACTCCTCTTCTCTGACTCTGGTTTGAGGATCAGCAGTTCCACGTGAGCTTGCACAAACCTTGGCTGAAGCCATATACACTTTTCCAGCATTTGTATAGCTCGTGCTGTTTGCCCGCTCTTCCTAAACCAATAAAGTAAATAACAGAGATTAAATCTATATATCTTCACGCGAGATCTCTTGTGGGGTAGGTAGAGATTACCGAATATCATTGACTTTTCTATTTGTATAATCTATAACATAAATGTAAATTGATTGGACATGGTGATTAAAAAATTCAATACTGATCACAGTTTGTCAAAGATTTTTAATTAAATGGTGTATTGATTATCTACACTAATATTATAAGGACATATATTTTGTGATTAGTTCTAAGAGGATGGTTTAAATACAAAGTAAATGTATCTATGTATCAGTCTAGTGCCTGTAACACAAGTTCGGCTTAGCTTGGGACAATTCACACAGTATTATCTAATATTGTGAATTGTCCAAGGATATTATTATTTTTATCTTACTAATATTTATAAATGCTTAAGTTTGAGTATGGATGGATTTTTCTTACTCTTTCACGCAAAAACCACTGAACGGATCTTGATGAAACTTTACAGTAACATAACTTTTTACATTAGAATAACACAAGGGCTATAATTTAAAAATATAGTATGTAAATTGGGCGATATATAATGATAAGTATGATGCAGACGAAGTAGCGCGAGTTACCTAGTTATTATATAAACGGGATTTAACCGTGGTAATATTATTTATGAGCATTTAATATTAGTGCGGGAAAAAAATTGGCTATTAAAAAAAACAATTGAGTTTCTTGCCCATTCTTCTCAATTGAATCTGTATAGTGAACTGGACGGTAGGAGAAAAATATTAATACTAAACTTTACGTTCATAAGCGGCTAAAATGTCCTACATGAATAAATGACTTTTAATTTGATTTGGTTTGGTAGAGTCGAAATATCGGGAGCTTATAAATAATATAACGATATATCCCGTTTATATAATTTGTACAACAGTGAAAAAAGTTGAATATAATAATAAAATATGTAATAAATAAAATAAGTTATAACTTTAAGAATCTTACTTACTTATAAAGTTTGCCCAAGTTGTAATGTGCGTTCACGTGGTGTTTATTGAATTTTATTGCTTGCAAGAAATGATGCTCCGCATTGTCTGCGCCTGTGACTAGAGTGCCTATATTGTTGTGGGCACTTGCGTAGCTCGGCCATAGTCTAAATGAAATATATTTTAATTAGATACAGTGATTATGGTCAATATTAATCTGAAATAACCATAGACTACAGATTGGTAGAGGGTAAATTGAAGACTGGACCACAAAATAACTAAGTTTAAAGAATCTGTATTGTATATGTAAGAACGATACACAAATTCTGTAGCATTGTGATATCATTCCAGAATGTCTGAATTTGAATTCAAATTTCGAATCTATAATACGTTGTGTTTTTTAGAGATAAGAAGTAAAATAGAAAAAGAGTAGTTTGAATTTAAATTTCGAATTTACGTAGCTTTAAGAGTCATAAAAGAAAAACATTGTTTCTTGGAGTTCATATTTCGCATATTCTAAATTTGAAAAATCACCAATAATGAAAATAGATATATTTTTAATAAAGGTTATTTTTCTGTATAAATTCATGAAATCATTCTTTAAATATCTTTTTTTCTTATGGCTCTGGCTACTTGCGGTGCTATTAGCTGTATTTATATTCAGAAAATAACTAATTACAAAAAAAATATCTATAGAAATAATTAGCATTATTAAATTATTAAATTTTGAATAAAAACTATTTTTCTATGCATGTAATCAATAATTTCTTATGCCCCTGGTCATTTGCGATGCACTTACCCATATTTATATTCATAAAATAAATAATTATAATGAAATAAAAATGTATTTATGAAATTTAAAGAAGTCATTAGCAACATACAAATTCAGTACAACGGTACAAAATTTGGATAATTACACCATTTACGCGCGTCAAAGATTAGCCGAGCAACCGTCGCGCTTACCTCAAAGCTTCTTTGTAATGTCTGATAGCGTTGTCTTGCTGTTCAGTCTCCCTCAGGAAGTTTCCCAAGTTGTAGTGCAGTTTGGCGTTCTGCGGCAAAGTCACTAAATCCGCTCTGGAACAAACAAAACACATTCGGTGGTAATTTACGCTGAAACGCGGCGACCGTGAAGCGAATATTGCGCTAGGTGTAAATCGCTGAAAGCGCTTTATGTCATATTTAAAACATTACGTGGGTTATGAATGTTTGTGAACTTTTTAATTTGGTGCTTGGTTGCGGTTGTTTTTATTACTGAACCGACGTTTGATCTTGTAATTCCAATATTATTACGCTCTTATTTTACATTTAGGGATATTTATAGGGATGCTCTGTGTTTTAGTGGTTTAGCACAACGCCTTACTTTCTATGGTCGCAGGTTCGGTTCCTCGCACGATGCAAACATTTGTATTCATTAGTAGGATGTTTAATAGGTATAAGTGTTTTCTATGTATAAAAATTTAATACATAGAAAACACACAGTATACATAAGATTGTATTTACAAAACAAAAATACATGTATTTATATCAATTGGCTAGTACCCAAAAGCTCTGTTTAGCTTGGGACTAGATGGCGCTGTGTGAATTGTATTTATATATAAAAGAATATTCTCATAGTAAATATCTCTTTAATATAATATTGCTACCCAACCCGACTTCGCATGGATGTACATGCATTATATATATAAACCTTTCTTTTGAATCACTCTATCTATTAAAAAAACCGCTTGAAAATCCGTTGCATAGTTTTAAGGATTTAAGCATACATAAGGACGGACAGACAGCGACAGCGACAGTGACTCTGTAAAACAGAGTCGCTGTCGCACTATGTAATAATGATGTGCAAACGACAAATGATTTGTTGCTGTTATTCAGCAATCCAGTAGATAATATTTACAACAACCGTACATCGTATTGTACAGTAATTTAATTTCCTTGTTCTATATAAATGTTGCCACTAACGATGTTACAATTTACGAACAAACAATTAAGGGGAGTGTGTCCACGCAAAAATTAAAATTGGTGTATAGCCGTACTGTATCTGAAAGAAAAAGTAATGATGTACTTGTACAATACAAGCAAACAGACTAACATACCCATAAGTAATGATGTAACTACAGAATGAATGTTCTGTAGTACATCATTACTTTTTCTTTCAGATAAAGTCACTATAACACTGATACGTAATTACTTTGATTTATTATAACTGGATAATAAAAAAAAAAATATCTAGTAATGCTATTAGCGAAGATTCTAATTGGCATAGGAAACAGAAAATATGATTTGTTACATGTAAAATTACACTGTTAATCTTCCTAAATAAATAAATAAAAAAATCAAAATCAAATACTTATTCATATAGGACATTTTAGTCGCTTATCAACGTATTTTTTTTTGTGTATTATATTTTTTTCTCTATCGTCCAGTTCAGTATATAGATTCAATAATAAAGAGCTGCAGAGCAGAGCTGATTTCATATGTTTATATTACATAAATATAAAAATATAAAATCTACTCTGCTATATAAAAATAAAAAGGTAATGATAATTAATTATATTTCAATATCATGCACATGTTTTTAAATTTTCATACTGTCTCAGATTGTTCATACGAATAAACTAAAGATAGATCCTTTTTTTTGTTGCAAATCGAGTCTTTCAGTTACGTGTAATTCTAAAACAAACTTGTTTAAAGAAAACATAACTAGTATGAAACGTTGATATCAATTGCCTTATTCTGTGCACAAAATTTCATAGAGTTTATTTGTTATTGTAGAGAATTGTTATAGAATCACGTATTGTATTGAGAGTGGTCGGGGTTATGCATCCTTAATAGAATACGTCAACAATATGGCAACACATTACAAAGCCAACTGTATTTAACCGCTTTCCATTGGAAACTGATGGATGTGTTGCCATAAAAGACCGCAATATTTAATATTATTACGCGTACTCGGTTATTTTCTGGTGAGCCGTTATTAAGTTTATGAGATGAAGTTATGGAGTTTAAACCCGATAGAGGTCAGTTTATGGTGTGTTAAATTATATTATTAGATTTTGTCGTAAAATGTAGTGAAATATATATATATATATAATGTAATTGTGTTGGTGTAAATCTTATATATAAAATTCTCGTGTCACAGTTTTCGTTCCCATACTCCTCCGAAACGGCTTGACCGATTCTCATGAAATTTTGTGAGCGTATTGAGTAGGTCTGAGAATCGGCAAACATCTTTTTTTCATCCCCCTAAATGTAGGGGTAGTCCACCCCTATTTTTTTTTTTTTTAGATAAAATTTTTAGTTTCTATTTTTTTATGATACAACTTCCTAAAATACGTCCAATCCTAAATTTTCACCCTTCTATCATCAACCCCTATTTTTTTATAGCGTTATTAATTTATATGGCAAAACAACGTTTGCCGGGACAGCTAGTAATATATATATCGGTTGTCTAGTACTTGTAACTACTACGACGTTAATTGAGGTTAATTGTTACAAATATCTGTTTTTGTAAATACATATATAATATACATAGAAAACACTCAGACCGATACAACCATAGTTATAACTAAAAATATTTGCACCGTGCGAAAATCTAACTTGCAACCGTTGTAAATTAAAGAGATGTGTTAAATCCCTACACCATAAAGACCATCAACATTATACAAACTCTAAAACAATAATACCTATATGAAACACTTTTGTTTCTGTTGAATCTCGACCTCGTTCGTGTACGTTATAGGAAATCGGGGATGCTGTCTCTGAGGTATTAACAAGAGATTGCACATAAGCCATGTAAGAAAAGGTGTCAGCGATAAAGGCGCTATCTCGAGAGCGTATAACAGCCGGCTTACAGGAAAATATAAGATTTTATAGTGTCACGGGTGACTATAAAACTTTGCACTGTTTTGGTGCAGTTCTATACCTATTGGTATTTGATTATGTCGACTTTTTATGTATTTTTTTACGTCCGACGGTTTATTAAGGACTGTAGATTTTATATGAAAACAAATCGTGGTTGTTATTGGTACGATGTATATTTTGAAAGTAATAATAATACAACGGAAAAATGTATTTTAAAATATATATAAAAATGGAATAGTAATTTAAAAAAGTGCGTTATACGCATGTAAGTTTAAGAAAAGAACGGAGCAATGAAGTAAGGTTGGTAGAAACGTTCAGGATAGAAAATATGAATAAGTAAGGTAAAAAAATAAGAAAAAACTTTTGAAAATACGTCATTTTACACAGTTACTGTTACACAGTTTATGAATTAAGTTATAAAGTAAATGTGAATGACATAAAATAAAAAAAAAATGTTTATTAACGCGATATGATTTTTACCACAAGATAATATTCAAATATTGACGGCCTCGTTGGTGTAGCAATTTGGCACACCGCTTTACTTCCAATGATCGCGGGATCGAATCCTTGCACGGTATAAACATTTGTATTCATGAATATGATTGTTTGTATTGGTCTAAATCTAAATGTTTTATATGTTTGTGTATTGTTGTATATATTTACAAAAAACTGTATATAAATATATATATCAGTTGTCTAGTTCGCATAACACGAATTCTGCTTAGCTTGGGTATACATGGCGCTATGTGACTTGTCCAAGAAGTTTATTATAAAAGAGAGATACTCATACATACAGGTCATATTTATAAGTTAGGGATAAAAAAAAAATTACCGTAATAAAGTAGCTCGATCTTTCCAGTCAGCATTTCTTCTATATGTCCTGGCAACACCACTGGCCGCCAGTATGGCAAGCCCAATGACCAGGATCCATTTCGTCCACGGCTTGGAGTACCACATGAGCTGCACGCCGTAGGCAGTTATGATGACACTACCCACACTGATAATAAACAAATAATTAGTTCATTCCTTAAAAAAACACAATTAATATGCATTGCTATGTGTTTACACTTTTATAAAAGACTAGCTACTCGCCCCGGCTTCGCCCGGGTGTACATGTATTATACATATAAACATTCCTCTTGAATCACTCTATCTATTAAAAAAAACCGCTACAAAATCCGTTGTGTAGTTTTAAAGATTTAAACATACGGATAGGGACGGACAGACAGCGACAGCGACTTTGTTTTATACTATGTAATGAAGATTCAACACGAGTTTTTACACCAGAGTGGACTATTTTAATTGATATGTATGAAAAACATTGTAAATTCCCAGAGGATGCAGATGTTTCATCAATTTGACCAGATATATTCCTATATTCGAAAAAAACTAAACTCGTAACACTAATAAAGCTCACTGTTCCATGGGAAATAAATATACATAAAGACTATGCAATAAAAAGAAATAAATATTACGACCTAATAAACGAACTAACGAAAAATGGCTATGTGGTTTATTTACATTTATTTTTATTTATTTACTAGCTTTTGCTCGCGTCTTCGCTCGCGATAATTTATCCCTTTAGGGATGGAATTTATCAAAATCCTTTCTTAGGGGATGCAACGTCATAGTAGCTTTATGCATGCAAAGTCTCAGCCCGATCGGTTTAAAATTGGCGAAGTTTCATACAAACTTTCATCCCCTATTTTATCCCCTTGGGGGTAGAATTAATCAAAATCCTTTCTTAGCGGATGCCTACGTCGTAACATCTACCTGCATGCCAAATTTCAGCCCGATCCGTCCAGTGGTTTGGGCTGTGCGTTGATAGATCACTATGTCAGTCACCTTTGAGTTATATACATATAGATTTATTTCAGGCTACTAGGTCCATATTATAAATGCCTTATAAACTAACATACATATGAAATATTATAAAATTAAGGTATTGAAATTGTATGTGTGATTACGGCACTGACGGTGGCAATCTGCCACGGTAGCGCCGCTGTACTACACCCTTTGGTGCGGTTGAAATAGAAGCGAGAGGTATACCAGCGAAATCTTTCTAGAATCTTCTAAAGGACCTTCAGCTGTCAAGAATTACAGTAAGTTCTTTACTAGAATGTTTATCTAAAGCTGCAATTTGGGAAAATTGGGAGTGTATATATTTATCAATACATCATAAAAAATTGTCTATAATTAATAGAATAGAATAGAAAATCATTTATTCAAATAAACTTACATTGAAGCAGTTTTGAATAGTCATCACATTTTTTAATCTACCGCTCATTCGGAAAGCTGTCTCATCACAAGAAGAACGAACAAGAAACTTGCGTGTTGCTCTTTTAAATAATTTTATGATTACTTTACATTTTTAAGTTTAAGTGTGTGAATACAAACCACCAATTAGCACTAATTCAATTAAATACTCAAATAGAAAAAATATTGAATATATAACCAACTGGTTAAGTTATTTTACAACGTCCCTACTTCCTGCTTCTTTACTAGAATGTGTTTGTGAAAAATTGTAGTATATACTTATTAATATTACATCATACAACAAATTGTCTAAAATTAAAACTGTAGGGAGGTCTACTCTTATCACTTAGTAATAGAAAAAATTGATAACGACCTATTCTCCGACCTACATACTACACATATAAAATTTCATCAAAATCGTTTAAGCCGTTTAGGAGACGTATAGCAATTAATACTGTGACACTAGAATTTTATATTTACCTATATATAAAAGTCCATATATATAAAAGATTTAGTTACCTGGGTATTATATATAGGTAAAGATTTAGTTACCTGGGTATATAAAGAATTCGCTCGGCGATAACAAAACCGACGGTAACTAGTAAGTTGCTAGCAGGCACGAAGGGTATCACCAGGAGTAACAGTCCAATGACAGCCGGAGTGTGTCTCTGGACCTGGTATGAAACCATAAACAAAAATTAAAAAAAATATCTCACACATAAGAAAACTTTAAAGTCGATTAAATATATATTACGTTTCAGGACTATTCATCTAGTCCCAAGCTAAGCAGAGCTTCTGTTATGATTACTAGACAATTGATATAAATTCATATGTATACATAAAAAGGTTTTGAAGATTTTTTGGTTGTTTTCTATATATTATACAAACAATCATGAATATAACTGTTTGTGCCGTGCGAGGAATCGAACCCGCGACTATCGGAATTAAGGCGGGGTGCTAAACCGCTAGACTCCCGAAGCCGTCAAATAGTGTCGAGTTTATTTTGGACTAACAAAAGAAAACATTTTTAAAATCGATTATATAGTGTTTGAGTTTATTCTTGACAAACATTTAGTATTTTCGAAAAAAAAAAAGATATATGTATTAGTTATCTAGTACGCATAATACAAGCTTTAGCTAGCTTAACTTGGGTCTAGATGGCGCTGTGTGAATTGTCCTAAGATTATTATTATTTTTAAAGTGAAGATTTTTCAAATGTAAAATAAAATACAGTACAAACCTCTAAGTCAGCTATAAACCGATAGCACAACAGCAGTAAGGCCCCGAATGCAGCGCAGGTGAGCAAGTTCCTGGGGTCCCAGCCGCTGGTGATGAGCGGCACGGACCCCATCTGCCAGTCGTGGCTGAGGGACCACGGGCACAGCAGTAACCACCAGTTGAAGGCCGCCAGGTAACAAAACGTCATTAATCTGTGGAATTATATGTAGTAAGTAACTCACGCTCTGAGATTATTATATTAGGAATAGAATAGAATAGAATAGGAAATCATTTATTCAAATAAACTTAATTTAAGCACTTTTGAATAGTCACAACAATTTGTTTTTTATCTACCACTCGTTCGGAAAGCTGTCTCATCACAAGAAGAACGAGCAAGAAACTTGTGTGTTGCTTTTTTAAATAATCCTTGTAAGTTTACATTTACAAGTCGAAACGTGTGAATACAAACTACCAACAAGCACTAATTTTTCGGGTCAAATATAAATATGCAATAAGATTAAATCATTCGTGATGATAGGTTCTATTATATGTACATACCAACGCTTTGAATCTATTAAATAAGAATCGGAGATCATTATAATAGAAATGAATCGATATGATGAATATATTATACTTTATTTAATCGATATGATGAATATATTATGGCGCTGAAGTACCAAAATGTTGATATATTATTTTTTTTAAATGAAATGATATTTATTCAGTAGAAGAAAAAACTAAAACACACATTAAACAAACAAAAAAAAGAATAACAAACAGTGCGACAATTACAAAAAAAAAACAGTACACAAAATACGTGTATGTGCTTGTGCGTGCATGTGTATGTCTTTTTGTTTTTTTTTATATTTGTTTTTAGATAAAAAGTAGCCCATGTTTATTATAGTACCTCCAATAATATGTGTATAAATGTGTATTTCATGATGATCAGTTCAGTAGTTTTTGCGTGAAAGCGTAACAAACATATAATATTAGTAAAGATTTATACAAATAAATGAAATTGAAGTATTTGTAATTTAAAATTAGATTTTCACTAAATGTGTATAGAAATTTACTGAATTTACAAAAAAAAATACTGTCCGAAATTATTAAAAACAAACAGTTGTTGGTTCTTGATAATTTCAGACGCGTCTAAACCGATTTTGATGGGACTTTCACTCGCAAATAGCTAATGTTATGATTTGGACTACTTTTATTTTAGAAATGTTAATTATTTTAATTCTACGCTTTTGTATTTGGTTTTATTTTCAAATATCTACCCACCCCGGATTCGCACGAGTGTACATGTATAATGTGGTGGAGATATTCAGTGGATTATATACAGTAGCAAATATAATTTACTCTCGTTCTGATTCAGTTGCACGTTACATATAAACTGTTACTTAGCAGTATGATTACTTATTTTAAATGTGATGGATTAGAGTTTTTCTTCTAAAATCAATGTGCTAATACGGGTCCTTAATCCATTACATTTAAGACACTCTACATCTCTACATTTAAATAACATACATAATATAAAACAATATACAGAAGAGTAAACAATAGAACAATAGTAGCAAAAAACATATCCAAAATTAAATCTGGTAAAATATTAATCACTAATTATAGTTGGACCTATACAAGTCTTCCTCTTTAATCACTCTATCTCTACTCTATTGCTAAATGCTGCATTAAAATCCGTTGCGTAGTACAAAATATTTAAGCGAACAGACAGCGAAAATGACTTCATTTTGTACTATACTAGCTATTAGCTCCGGCTTCGACCGGGTGTACATGTATTATACATATAAACCTTCCTCTTGAATCACTCTATCTAATAAACAGAACCGCTTCAAAATCCGTTGCGTAGTTTTAAATATTTAAGCGTACATAGGGACGGACAGACAGCGACAGCGACTTTGTTTTATACTATGTAATGACTAGCTACCCACCCCGACTTCGCAAGAGTGTACATGTATTATATATATAAACCTTCCTTTTAAATTACTCTATCTATTAAAAATACCGCTTCAAAATCCGTTGCGTAGTTTTAAAGATTTAAGCATACATAGGGACGGACAGACAGCGACAGCGATCAGCTTTGTTTTATACTATGTAATGATAAAGGTGTTTTAATTTTCTTAATATCCTTTCTTTATTAGTGCAATAAAGTGTTATAAATAAAATGAATAGATTGAATTTATTTGACGACCTCAGTGGTCTAGCGGTCTGCACCACTTTACGACCGATGGTCGCTGGTTAGATTCCTCGCACGGCACAAACATTTGTATTCACGAGTATAATTGTTTGTATCGGTCTGGGTGTTTTCTATGTATAATATGTATGTATATACAAAAAAAATCTATGTATATGTATCAGTTATCTAGTACCCATAACACAAGCTTTAGCTATCTTAACTTGGGTCTAGATGGCGCTGTGTGAATTGTCCTGAGATTATTCTTATTATTACTATCAAACTCTTGTCATACGCCACCACGAGGCGGTAACCTGGAATTTAGTTCTATGAATATATGCCAGCTGAATGTGCCAACGTGCAATTTTCATGTTACTTTGAAATAAGTTAGATTACTAGTTGTATAACGACATTTTATAGCTATTGCATGGAACTTGAATGTTTGTTTAGAATACAGAGTGCTAGCTGTGCCCGCGGTTTCATTTACGTGAAACGTATAGCCTATATATTATACTGATATATAAGCTACATTACTGTTAGGTTTTATCAAAATCCATGTAGTAGTTTTTGCGTGAAAGAGTAACAAAAATCCATCTATAATCACAATATTTACATATTAAAAAAAAATTGTACAGAGCGCTAACTGGTCTCAAGCTAATTAGAGCTTATAATATATGTACTAGACAGCTGATAGATATACTTAGATACATTTTTGTAAACACAAATCATTTATCTATTTATTCATAGCTTTATTAAGTTTTAATATTTTTTTTTTTGTAAAGACAAATTATTTATACATTTATTAATAGCTTTATTAAGTTTTAATGTACAAAGATAATGGCGCATATAGTGGGCTTAACACTTTAAGGTAATAATACATAAAATACATAGGAAACATCCATATCAATACAAACAATCATACTCATGAATACAAATGTTTATACGGTGTGAGGAATCGAACTTACACGTGCCTGGATCGAACTTGCGAACGTCAGAAGTAAAGCGATGTGCTAAACTGCTAGACCACAGGCAGACTGTTATTATTTTAATTTATATCATACCAGCGGTTCTACCCTCATGAAATTTATAGCCTATATGTTATTCTGATGTATAAGCTATAGTACTGTAAAGTTTCATCAAATCTGTTCAGTAGTTTTTGCGTGAAAAAGTAACAAATATCTATTCATACTAACAAACTTTCGCGTTTATAATACTAATAAGATAAGATTTCTTTTCAGTTCTAAAACAAAAATGGACGGTAAACGTGTTTAGGAATAATTTTATGGTAAATAATATATTTGCCGCATTTGACGTTAATCTATATGAATATTTTAAATGTGAAAGTGTGTATGTCTAGACAGACAGACATCTCTTGGTTACCTACTCACGAATAAACGGCTGTATTGATCTTATTGAAATAAGCCTCTGTTTTTTATAAAAAATGTAAACGATATTATAAGTAACAACTTGTAATCTATAGTTTAAAACGAAGTCGCTTCCGTAGTTTGTTCGTATAGATCTTAAACTACGTAACGTATTCTAACACAGTTTTTAGTAGTAAATAAAGTGATTCGAGAGGAAGGTTTATATGTATAATACATGTACACCCGGGCGAATCCGGGGCGGGTGGCTACTTTTATAATATAACGATTCATCCTTACTAATATTATAAATGCGAAAGTAACTCTGTCTGTCTGTCTGTCTCGCTTTCACGCCAAAACTACTAAACTGATTTAAATGAAATTTGGTACCTATATAGTCTAGACGCCGAGGAAGGACATAGGCTACTTTTTAATACGAAAAAAGGGTTGTAAGGGGTTGAAAATGGTAATGCAAGGTTATCTTTATGCGGTTGAATACACACTTATTATAATAATGGCTTAACTAAAAAATTAGATATTTTGGAAAGTCTACTTTATAATTGTGTTATTAAGTCTATTTTCAAAAATTTTTAATTTCTGAATTACACCAGTATTGTACTAGATATGCGACTTATTAACGCTCATATGTCATAAATATACATATATGTTATTTGTATAAGCAGCGCGCGCAACTGATTATTGTCAATCCGTTGTCTCCTTATGAATTTAAATGAATAAACGTTTGCTCTGCAATTTTATTTTATAAATACATAAATATAATCCTGGTATAGCCTATAACTGATGACCCTGCTCTTGGACAAGAGCGTAAGAACATATTATTAATAATTTTGAAGAATAAAACAACATATAATATTAAAAATGTTGTCAATACATATGAACAACATTTCCTTGGAAGAAACAACATCTACCGTTCCATCCGAGCTATTCAGGTTCGGAATACGCGTTTCTCCATTCTGGCCAGTAGAGTCAGAGATATGGTTCGCGCAAGTAGAGGGATAGTTTGCAATTTAGAATATCACATCTATTATTTTGATTTAACAAAATTTTATTATGTTATTGGCCAACTGGACCACCAATTTTCAAAAGAATTTAAAGAAATGTTTAAACTGTTTATTAAATATAAATAAATATGACATTTAAATTTGTAAATATCACATTGTCACCATTCAAGGGGTAAAATAAAATAGCAGATAAAAGTTTTTATGGAAATTCGTCATATTTGAAGCTAGAACGATGAAGCTTTTTTCTTACGCTTTTTTGGGTCAGTTTATTTAATAAATACCTTACTAATATTATGAAAGTGAAAGTGACTCTGTCTGTCTGTCTTAAAAGCCAAAACTTCTGAACTGATTTAAATGAAATTTAAAGTCTAGATCTTGAGATCGGTTACATTAGGTTACTTTTTAATGCTAAAAAGGGTTATAAGAGACTGAAAGAGGAATTTTTTAAAAGTTTAAGCTTCAATCCTATTTTTTTGCGTATTGATTAAATATAATTAACGAAAATGGGTTGTAAGGGTCAAAAGGGGAGTTAAAATGTTGTATGCATGTATTGTCATTTTTTAAAGCTAGAAACTTGAAACCCATTTTTTAGGCTGTTGAGAAAATATTAGTACCTACCGCCACAGGACTCAGCCATAAATGGTTACAGTATAGCGACATCTTATCATTGGTACATGATGACACTAATATAAGTAGCATTAAAAAAAACAAGAAAAAGGGTTATAAGGGGTTGAAAGGGGAGATGTAATGTATGTATGTATGGTATGTATGGAAGTATCTTCATTTTAAAGATAGTAGTTTGAAACTTAGTTTTTGGCTGTTGATTGAATTGTATGGAATTATGTATGGAAATTTCATTTTTAAAGCTAGAACGATGAAACTTTTTTATTGGGTTAGATTATTAATATATATTTTTTATTATTTGCTCAAGGTCACTATTTTACGCGGACGAAGTCGCGGGTACAGCTAGTATAAAATAAATAAACTCCAAAAAATCTTAATTAAAAGTGCGTAGTCTTATTTAATAAAAATCGTACGAGACAAAAAAACTGAGTTGAATTTCGAATAAGTAGCATTCATTTGTTTATGAATTTATGAAGAATTATTCATATGTTTATGAAGAGAAAGTTTTATAATATCACGATTTATATTGCATCTGTTTGGGACACAACTCTAAAAAATCTTAATTAAAAGTGCGTAGTCTTATTTAATAAAAATCGTACGAGACAAAAAACTGATTTGAATATTTGAATTTCGAATACGTAGCATTCATTTGTTTATGAATTGATGAAGAATTATGAAGAAAAAGATTATTAGAGAAGAATAAAAGAACCATCATAGCGTTTTTATTAATCCACAATTTAACTGTGATAATATATTAAATATAAATTGTAATTTCTTTCGTGCATAGGAATAAAATTTTTACTTACTCATTTCTGTATTTTTCACTTATTTATTTCTATAACATCTATGTGAATTTTATTAAATGTCAACGCACTGAATATTTAATATACGAATTTAAATCTTATTATGTGTAAATAAGATATATTATACATCGTTGAGAGTTAAGTAGAGGCGATATTAATATTTCTCAACTTGGAATGATAAAATATCTCTATTCATAGAAATGACAGATTCTAAGAACGAATACACGAGTACATATGTTCATATAAATAATATTTATATCGAAAAGCAAAAGATCTAATAATAAAATCAACCCTTGCCTAAATCAGCGGTATATTATATTTCGGAGTTAAGACATACCACCCCTTCTTATTTTTTCAGTGTATGAAAATATCACAAAATGATTTAACAATTTATTATAATAAAAAAATAAATCTGAACAACTCACACAGCGCCCTCTAGTAGTACTCACTAGTAAACAGAGCTCTCTGATATATTTATACCATACCTAAATATTTTTATTATAAATATTTCTTTCGGCATCAAACTCGCGACCAACAGAAAGTGATAACAGCAATCCACTAAACCAAAAACGGGACTCGACAATCCATAATATACATAGAAGACACCCAGAATACAAACAATCATGTTTGCATCGAGCGAGGCATCATACACGCGACCAAAGGTTACTTCCTTATTATACAGACAGAGTTACTTTCGCATTTATAATATTAGTAAGATATTTAATAAGCTATTAGACCTACAATGAACTGGTAATTTTATATATTCTTTTATCCATATTTAAAATATTGGTATTCCTTTTATATAATTGTTTTATAATAATTTCTGTCATTGCGCTCTGCTACAATAAATGTCTCTACAAGCATCTCTCTTATTTTCATTAATTATTACTTAAACTAACTCCAAAAACACAGAAATAAGTAAAGTAGTGTGCTAAACTGCTAGCCCCCCGAGGCCGCAAAAATTCTATAGAAGTTTATACATATAAGAGTTAGTAATGTAACCGTTTTCAGGCAACTGGCAATAAATGATACATAATAGTCTGTGGACATGAATGATGACAGTTCGTAATAGAGCAGACTGTTGGTAATAACCTACTTGTAGCGCGCACAGATGATAAATTGATTTAAGACGTCTCACTACTCCAGACAAAATGAAGTATAAGAAATAAAACAGAACCATTTCGACGTTAACAAAATACAATTTTATATTTTGACCAGAAATAAAACAGGGCCAGTTCCGTTTGGACGTTGCTCTTTAACAAAATACAATTTTATGTTTTGACCAGAAACAAAATAGGGCCAGTTCCGTTTCGACGTTGCTCTTTAACAAAATACAATTTTATGTTTTGACCAGAAACAAAATAGGGCCAGTTCCGTTTCGACGTTGCTCTTTAACAAAATACAATTTTATGTTTTGACCAGAAACAAAATAGGGCCAGTTCCGTTTCGACGTTGCTCTTTAACAAAATACAATTTTATGTTTTGACCAGAAACAAAATAGGGCCAGTTCCGTTTCGACGATGCTCTTTAACAAAATAAAATTTTATGTTTTGACCAGAAACAAAATAGGGCCAGTTCCGTTTCGACGATGCTCTTTAACAAAATACAATTTTATGTTTTGACCAGAAACAAAATAGGGCCAGTTCCGTTTCGACGTTGCTCTTTAACAAAATAAAATTTTACGTTTTGACCAGAATTTTATATTTTGACCAGAAATAAAACAGAGCCATTTCCGTTTCGACGTTGCTCTTTAACAAAATAAAATTTTACGTTTTGACCAGAATTTTATATTTTGACCAGAAATAAAACAGAGCCAGTTCCGTTTCGACGTTGCTCTTTAACAAAATACAATTTTATGTTTTGACCAGAATTTACTTCATTGTGACCGTATAGTTGATTTGATTTGGCATTGTTGTGTTTCCTTACAAAACGTAAAATATAAAAGCAATTCTATTATTGGATTCTTTGTAGTGACGGTACAAATATTATTTAGAAAAAATAATTATTTTAAATGTTAAAAACATTCAATCAATATGTTGTTGGACCAGTTGAAGAGGAAAAATAATGTATAATTATCTTCAAATGCGAAGTATAAAATGGATTCAGACTTCAGAGTGTATAAATATCTTTTTTAATGAAACACCAATTACATATTCATAGACATTCTTATTTAATGTGATACATAAAAAACACTTGTACAGCTATAAACAATTATACTCATAAATCCAAACATTTTTTCAAATCCTCGCACGGAGAATTGAACTCACGACTATCGGTAGTAAGGCGGTGTGCTACTAGATCACCGAGGCTGTCATATCATTTAAAACTATTCTATTCTAACAGAATTGTTCTAGTCTAACAGAATCAAACCCCAGACTTGTATTTAATACCGCATACTGTATTTTATTTGAGGGAAGCAGATTGTTAATAATATGGACTAATAACCCTATTGTTAGCAATGTACCATGTCAAGTTGACGTCCTCGCGATTTCCCCTAAAAACCATCATCATTGGACTCCCTAAAATATGGTCGAGCGCAGTGATGGCTGGCTCATCCGTCATACTCGTGAACTGAGTGCTACTCGTAGGGACTGGTCTGCTCTTATCACTACGACTGATTTAATCTTATTCTGTTTTTATATTTGAGCCAAAATGAATTAGTGCTGGTTGGTAGTTTGTATTCACACGTTTCGACTTGTAAAATGTGAACTTACAAGGATTGTTTAAAAGAGCAACACACAAGTTACTTGCTTATTCTTCTTGTGATGAGACAACTTTCCAAATAAGCGGTAGATTTAAAAAAAAATTGTTGACTATTCAAAAGTGCTTAAATTAAGTTTATTTGAATAAATGATTTTCTATTCTATTCTACTCATCTTAAGTTTCTGATAAAATTGTCACGTTCAGCTAACTGACCTGACCTCATGCTCATCTGATCATCCTCCACTAGTGCTCCACCAGCGTAAACCGTTAGCGCAGACAGGTGCTTGGTTCTATTATCATCCATAGTAAAAACTATATTTTTTAACACACTTGCTCGTTAAGTGGATCTAATTTCAAAGGTCTTCGATATATAAAGCAACTCATAAAACACTCGTGCGTTATAAATGCAAATAGTGACGTTGCTATTTTTTTTATTAAATTTAGAACTGGCCACCTCGCCTAACATGTGCGCTGAATTAAAAAAGTAAAACGGCGGGAAAGTGCCAAAATGAACAAAATATAAAATTATGTTTTTTTAATCTGTTATCTTGTAAGTATGATGAAAAATGTGTTATAGTATTACGATATGATGTGTTGTTATGATGGTTATAGCATACGAGGAATTTTAACCCGAAGCAAAGGTGAGGGCGTAAAAGAGTCGAGTGTGTTATAACCATCATAACGCACTTATATCTTAATATACTATTATAACTTTATTGCTGTCACCAGATACATCGACCATAAAATATACACCGTTTTATAATGATTTAGTGCTTGATCAGGAATTCGCGTGTCCAGTTCAAGTGACAGACAAAGTTGTATAGAAATAAAGTTGTTTAGGATTTTATGAAGTCATTACAGTGATGTATTTAACTTGTGTTTTATGATGTTTAATCTGTGACTTTAGATTTGCTGTCGAAATATATTATGTTGATTTATTATTTCATATAATTTGTTGTCTATACATTATTTTGAGACTAAAACGTGCATGTTAAAATAGAATTATAGAACATATACATTTTACACCGAGAGTTACACCGAGTCAACCCGAGACGTGATGGCAGATGATCACATTTTTTTTCTTTCTGAACAACCTTCTAATAAACGCAAACATAACGAAAAGATTTAGCAAAATCAAAGCTGTGACCAAGAGAAATAGGGATACATTTTTTTAGACATAGATTAAATTTCTCATTTTGGGTGTTCCGCCAGGAACTTTAAAAACTTGCAGGTTGACCTGAAGTATATATCTATATTCATACATTCATATTTATTCTGTAAATAATAACATTCTATAAATTTATTGTAGAAATCTTACCTGACAAAAAAACTAGGGTGAAAGGCAGCTGGATTGTCCTGAGGCGAAAAGGTTGGCCACGTGCCCTGCAGTAGGGCCAACCTCAGGCAAATAAGCAATGCAAGCGACAGCAACACTTTAATACTTCTTATTGATAGTCCTGTACACTTCTTTTCTATTTTCAGCGAACATATAGATCTGTAAAAAACATTGAAAGGTTAAAATTTTGTTAGTTAGTTATTTTATATTAAATACCAGAAGATATGTAGGTATTTTTAATACATAATACACAATTTTAGCTCTGTCACCTATTTCTGTCCGCAGCAGTTATCATATAGTTATTTTCTCTTGTATATGCTTTTAGATACAGCGGTGGATAGTACAAAGTCATCTTCATAGGCATACAACGTTTGTAATTTAAGAAATGGTTTCTAATAATACAGATAAATTTGTTTATAACCATCCACGTTAAAGAGCTAGCAAATATACATTCTGGATTGAGTGTGCATTCAGAATACAGCACAAGAGCAAGCACCGTACAAAAGTGTGTATGTTAAGTTTATTTGGATAAAATTATTTATTTCTATTCTATACATTGACAGCCTCGGTGGTCTAGTGGTTTAGCACACGGCTTTATTATCCGATGGTCGTGGGTTCGATTCCTAGCACAGTACAAACATTTGTTTTCATGAGTATGATTGTTTGTATCAGTCTGGGTGTTTTCTATGTATAATATGTATTTATTTACAAAAATGTATCCATGTATTTATATCAGTTGTCTAGTACCTATAACACAAGTTCTGCTTAGTTTGGGACTAGATGGCGCTGTATTAATTGTCCTGAGATATTATTATTATTCTCTTTTTCACAGCATAAGCTGGTGACTAGTAGCGAGGACGAGACACGCCGTTATTATTATTATTTTTTATATTCTCTCAGCTTTTGCTGTTTTTTTTTATTATTATTATTATTATTATACATATGTAGTGGCATGGTATTGCAAATCATCAAAATAGATTCCGCTCAACTACAATACCACACAACTACACTAAACGATATGCTCCGTCTATATCAATCACGTTGTAAAAGCAACCTGCAAAATTTGAAATTCAACCTAATATTAGACAGTTCTGGGTCCTAATTCTTTTATAAATAAAAGAAGAAAAGAAATTTAATAAATTCCTTAAATGTTCGTTGTTGAAAACATTACTCCATAAGCCTATTATTACAGCATTTAAGAATATCTGAAAGATTATTGTATCTTTCAGATATTACACATGTATCCTTTCAGGCATAGGAATGTATACGAGAAAATTAGATATACACATTTTAGCATTTAAGAATATCTGAAAGATTATTGTATCTTTCAGATATTTCTATATTCCTATGCCTGAAAGTGTACATGTGTAAGTTTTGTACTATGTAATTATGTATGATACTAGCTATGTCCACGGTTTCCCGCGTGAAATTTATAGCCTATATGTGATATGTCTAAACTATATTACTGTAAAGTTTCATCAAAAAACATTCAGTACTTTTCGCGTGAGCGATTAAAATATAATTTGCGTTTATAATATTACTAAGATTAACACATTAAAAATAATGAATAAATAAATATTTGGAAAGGGAATCAAGTCTATTAAAATTTATTACCTTTTTACAAATGGCCAACACCTATAAAAATCGAATGCTAAATTAAGCATGAGCACGGTGACTCCAGTTTCCTTGGCGAGCATGCTCAGAGCGCCAAGTACTATGCTCAACCACACACACTTCTTGCTGCTTGTGGGTCTATAAAAGAAAGAAGTTATTTAATACAGGTGTTAACTTACACCAACGTCACAGAAAATACTTTTTTTTTTATTTTATGTTTGTAAAAATATTGGGGCACTTGATACGACACGACGAACTAATTAACAATATTATAGAAGGAAAAATAGATGGAAAGAGAGGAAGGGGAAGACCAAGACACAGCTATATCAAGCAAGTTAAAGAGAAAGTTGGAGTCGTGTCGTATCAACAGCTAAAGGGACTGATAGAAGATCGTGGAAGGTGGCGGGAGCTCCACCGATAAGAGCACAGCTCTTAAATTATGAATGAATGATGTTTGTAGGTAATTGTAAGAATAATTTTGTTAATTTAATTACTAATTAACGACTCCTGAAATCACAAACATCTAAATATATTTCGCGACATCTGTGATGCTATAATTGACGTTTGGCTGTTACCATAGGGTGTGCTGCCTGTTTGATTTTCGAAATAATAATTAAAGTAATAATAAATTTAAATTACCTGTGGTATACTAATAGTGAAGACAGGAAAAATATACAGGCTAGTACATCAGCTCTACCAACTACGCCGGCCACCTGTTGATGTAAGAAAAAAATTACTACTGAATGGATTTATCTTATTTTGTACTGTCAGCTTACGGCGGTTTAGTCGCCGAACAGTTTTTATTTTTATGCTATTAAATATCCTCAATATATTGTGTTTATTCCGGAGAATATCACCCATTTCGGCGCAACAATACAAAATATCTAAATTATGATACATTTCTTTCTTTAATACTAACTTTGGCTATATCGATAACTTTGATGGCTTCTTCAGTTGATGGGTTATTGAGAATACTATTGCAGAGCCGAAGGCATTTCGAATAAAAGGTATCAATTCGAGTCTTTTAGTCTCGTTGCGTGCCTAGTCCATAATAATATGATAAACGTCTTAAAATTTTCTACATACCATACAATTTGGAGTTATAGCGCCGAAAAGTTATATTTATATACTCTACATAAATATAGTCACAACAGCAACTATATTTATTAAAAAACTATAATAGGTGACTATAAAAAACATACACATATTTATTTCTATACATATACTTACCGCCTCAGTATGAACGGGGTGTACAGCGAACAGCAGCGCTGCAAGCGCTGCAAAGGGTCGCTGCAGTCGCGCTATCGTAACACAAGCGCGTGCAACTAGCGCGCAACAAGCGGCGTGCAGCGTGACATTGCACGCGTGCCACCACCAGGGTCGGAGGCCGGCTAAAGCATGGTTTAACCTGGAACAAGAAAAAAATATATGAAAATTGACAATGTTTGTTAACTAGCTGTGCACGCGGATTCATCTGCATTCAATTTCAATATAAAATATAGGGGGGGAAAGGGGATTGTTAGTAATGTGGACTGATGACCTATTACTAGGTGTCAGGTTGACCTCCACGCGGTACCCCCTGGAAACCATCGTGACAAATTCCTGGAGAATTTGTCACGATGAGCTAACTGACCTGACCTCATACTCATCTTATCATCCTCCACTGGTGCCCCGCCAGCGTATGCCGTTAGCGCAGGCGGGTGCAACATTCCATTATCATCATTAAAAATATATATATATATATATAATATAGCCTATGTGTTATTCTAATATTACTGTAAATTATGTATTATGCGTACAAAACTTTCTCTTGTACAAACATATAGTAGAAAATCAGAAAATCAGTGAGATACATTTTTACAACTTTTGCTTGCCTCTGAATCATCTTCTTACAGTAAAGAAGGTGATTCATCACAAGAAGAATGAGCAAGAAACTTGTGTGTTGCCCTTTTGAAAAGATTTTTTTTTTATATAAACAATTATACAATAACAATTAAGAGGCATGCGACAAGCAACATAGAATATTTTTGCTCTTTATCTTTTATCTTGTCTCACTTCTTTTATTTAAATATTACATCGTGAACCATCAAATATTTCATTGTGAAAACCTTTCAAGTAATCCAAAAGTAGACTGCCTAAAACACTCCGCAAACGTCAATTAAGCCACTCCAAAGCATAGAGTAATAACAACGTACATACACATAAATGTAACAACATTTATGTTACTTTGTCAAACGAAAATGGATCATAAATCCACAGAGCGAGTAGCAGACTTGCTTATAATGGTATGAGGTGACAGTCAGCGAAAACGCCACCATGCTATAACGTGTGGTACAATGTATTTAAATTTAGTAGCTCAGTTTGTGTCCCGTAATTAAAATTCCAAAGTATGTTTTAATATCAACTGGCTGCGATTTAGTTCACGTCCAAAGAGACACTTTGTACTAAATAGTTTGCTCGAGCAATTACGTTTTAGCTATTAAATCAGATGTGCGCGCTGTAACCGGAACTCTTTGTTTTGAAACGGTCCAAAAAATTATAATAACTATTTAGAAAGTTTATTTTTTTTATTATTAAATAGAAAAGTCCATAAAATAGAAATGATAGCATATTTAATACCTAATAATACAAATCAAAATAAATTTTCTATAATAACAAATCTTAATCATCTTAACTTATGCATTATATTACATTATGTATGGGACTAGAAGAAGGTTAAATATCTTCTTATAGTCCTTGAAACCCAAATCGCTTAGGACATTTTTGAGATTAGCGCATATATAAACTGAACAAAAAAATAATAAAAATCATTATTTTCGATAGATTATTATTACTGTGAATACAGAATAGAATAGAAAATTCTTTATTCAAGTAAACTTAATTTAAGCACTTTAGTATAGTTATCACAATTTTATTAATCTACCGCTCATCGTGAAATTATATTTACCTATTTGAACTTTATAACACGAGTGTCCGAAAGAAAAGAGCTTTTGGTGTTAAAAGCGGTCATTAGCTTTTGTTTGTTTATGGTGCGGACCGTATGTTTGATCAAAGCTTACGATGTACATGTAATTATATATCTTCACGGCTGTTATGTCTGATGGGGTAATCAGAGGCATTATCTAGTGTAGACGTTGTGATGAATACTACATTTCGCTGGATTTCAAAACGGCTAAAGAAGACCCTAACGTATTTTATAGATAATTTTTTTTATCCGCTATTTTATTTACCTGAGAATCAGTCAGAAAAAAATATATATTCTCAAAGAAAGTTTTTGTTATCGGTCAGATTCGAACCCACTACTTTCCGATATAAGTCGGGGTATTAACCACTACGTCACGACGTTCCCGAATGTTGTATGTATACAAAGAAATTCCGCAACAAAATCACGAACTTACATGCAACACTAACATTGCCCACTGGCCTTTACACAAGGCTGCCCTAGTTCCTAACTTTGTTTTTGTCATTGTGCCTACTTAATAATTAAGTACACAAAACAGCTAGCCATGATTAATGTACGTTGTTTGTTTGTTTGTCCCCCAAAGCCGGGACCATTCACAACTCATTAAATTGAACTTGGCTTTTGGACTTTCAGTTTATAAGCCTCCGGTTGCGTAACCTTGACAATTGTTCGTGTCGGTGTACAAGGTGCCGTGTTTTATTTTCTTACGAAACTGACTGTCTCTCGCTACTTCGTATGCACAAATTTTCATTCCTTATTTCAATCCCAGTCCAGATTATTCTTAGATAAAAGATCATTCTCGGATCATCCTATAATCATTCTCGAAATACAATCTATGCTCTTAAGCTTTTGAAAACCGGCAGCTCCTTTAGCTGGATGCCAGACGCGACGAGCTGAAAGCCCGACCATCTGCGGCTATCACCTATAATTATATGAGCGGTGTGCTCTCATGCCCGCGATATGCGAGGATTTTTACACACAAAATAGGCTACATAAGTCACATGCGAGCACATCAACGACAAAATCGGAATTGAAGATAGTCGCCGTGGCCGAAATCGGCCTGGATTACATCATCATCATCATCATGTTCATAAATAACGTCATTATGATACGTTCCTTCGTTTATTCGTAAAAAAGACATAAGAGGCAATAAACAGCAAGACAGTAAGATGCACTTTCGGATTTATAATATTAGAATGGATGGACGTAAGCAAAATTCTTCTTGGTTTCTATTTTTAAGTATAGGCTAAAAAAATTAAGAAAATAGATCGCACAGATAAATTAATTTTGTGAATAATTTCAATACTTCTGCCCAATATTTTATTATTAAATTCATATACAACTTTATTTATATTTCTATTTACTATTGGCTTACTGTATTATTGGATTATCTACCCTGGTAGTGCAATATAAGTGTTTTAATAAAACAATCAGTAAAACGGATCGATATGGTGAAGATGCCGCGTACTACAAAAACAGCCGTACTGAAAACCCTTTTGCAATATCAGGCGGCTGAAAATGATCCCATAAAAAATGGCGACATAAAAGCATACAACTTCAAAGAAAGCAATCACTTTTTTCGATACCAATAACAATTGGAGCCAATGGCAGATTATCAGATATATCGCAGGAAAGGCAACTATAAACAGAAATGTTTCGGGCGGGAATCAAACGTGAGTCTTTATTAGTTTTGTTATAACCACAAAAGGCCGTACAATCTAGTTTTACGCGTGTGATATAATGGTGCACTATATATGATGGGACTATGATGTCGAACTACAAATCAAGAAACAGATATTGCTTATAAAAATACTGTTATTTTTTTATTTTGTTATGACAATATCGAAAATGTGTACAACAATTCTCATACTGATAGGATGAGAATTGTTGTTATTATAGTAATGAAAATGAGAATATAAATTCTCATACTAACATCTTCATGAGCATGATTGTTTGTATATGTCTGGGTGTTTTCTTTGTATAATATTAGTGTATTTAAAGAAATGTATCTAAGTTACCTAGTACCGATAACACAAGCTCTGCTTGGCTCTGGACTAGATGACGTTGTGTGAATTGTCCAAATTTTTTATTACGTTTATAGTGTATTAAATATAGAAAACTACCATAACCAATATAATACAAATAATAGTAATAAAAATACTAGTATTTCGCAATATTGAACTGCGAGCTCTGTTTTCGGAGTAATCAGTTAACCACTAATCCACAACATGTTACAATTATTATTAATTTATTCCACGTACTATACAAATATGATATTTTTTCCATTGCATTTAAAACCATGCAACAATATTATGTACTGCATGCAACGGTAATTTTTAAACTCACGATAGGAGATAACCTATTTCCTGTAACCGTGTCAGTTAAATCTAATGAATAAACTATGAGTGAATGCATGTGTAAAGAGTATAAAGTACCATCAGTCAGTTATTGGATTACTCCCATAAATATCAAATTAAGTTATATTTTGTTTAACCATTACACTGTATTTCATTATTAACATATCTAACCGGTAGGTTGACAAGGTATTAAAACCTATAATACATTATTTGGGACAAACAATGTTAAGTAGAAATATAACATAAACTGATAAATAATTTATATTAAAAGAAACATATGTTACATTTAAAAAAATATCATCATCATCATCATATCAGCACGGAAGACGACCACTGCTGGACATAGGCCTCCCTCAAAGATCTCCACGACGATAGATCCTGCGCTGCTCGCATCCAATGCCTTCCAGCCTTCTTAACCAGATCGTCGGTCCACCTTGCTGGAGACCTTCCCACGCTACGTCTTCCGGTCCGTGGTCGCCACTCGAGGCCTTTACTACCCCAACAGCCATCTGTCCTACGAGCCTGCCCATTGCCACTTCAGAGTCGCAATTTTTCGGGCTATGTCGGTCACTCTGGTTCTTCTGCGGATCTCCTCATTTCTGATTCGATCACGCAGAATAACTCCGAACATAGCCCTCTCTATTGCCCTCTGAGTGACTCTGCGCTTGTTCATGAGGCCCATAGTTAGCGACCACGTCTCTGTACCATAAGTCATTACTGGCAACACAAATTGGTCGTAAACCTTCGTCTTGAGACACTGCGAAAATTTGGACGAAAAGATATATCTGAGAACGCTGTCTATCCGGGTTGGATTCGACGATTGACCTCTTTCTCGAAATTGGACCTAACTAGCTGGATGTTTTTGCCCTAGTAAAAAATTGTAACTAGTATTTAAGGTTTTGATTATTGTTATAAATAGGTATGCAGCGTATAAACTTAACACTTGCAATATAGAATTTAAAATAATCAACAAATTATATAAGAGACATTCCTTGTACTACATTAAACTAATTTATATATATTTAAAAGTAAATAACCATATCAGTAAATCAAGATGAATTTATAAAATTTAATATTTTTCTAATAAAA